ATGACATTTTTAAAGATTCATACTTCATTTTATCCTTTAGCTACAGGATATCCATAGTAGGCAACTGTACTCATAAAACAGCAAAAACACAGTCTATTGTATTAATATACATTTCTCTTACCATGTGGATTCTATTGACTATTAAAACAACACAACCTATCCACTATCCATTCATACATCTATGATAAGACAGAATAGATGCACTAAAATGCAGAATGAGAAATAATATTTGAAATAATCCTACCCTGGTTTGTATCAAATATAAATAATCAAATTTCTGCAGCCCATGTTGTTTTATTACATCTTTCACTTAGGAAGTGCTATGTACTATTTAAATGTTACTAACATATATGTAATGTCAGCATATTCAGTAGTTTGGTATTTATGCTATCAAAAATTTCAACCAGCTATATTATGTCAATGTAATAATTTTTTTTTTGCTCTACAGATAAATTTCAAAATAAATTAAACCAGTCAACATTACTAAAGCCATCTGTAACAAATTTACTTTTTTATGTTTTTATACTTAATAAATGTGCACTACAATGTCATAAATTCATCACCAGAAACCATGCATAATTCAAAGTAACTGTCACTTCATGCCCAAAAAATGTGACTTTACACACATTTTAATGCAGATCATGTGAAATTCAGCATTAGAATTTTAATAACCTTAATTATAAATGTCAAATAAGAAGTAAGTGCTTTTCTTGGATAGTATGTGCACCCCTAAATACTTATCCAAAAATCACATGGAAAGCAGAGAGACTCACAACAGACGAATGAGTAGAGTAAATGACAGATCTTGGGAGGGTCCTCACAAATATGTGTAAACAGTGGAAAAGGGAGACCAAAATTGTGACTCAAGTTTTCTACCATGACTATTCACAACTCAAAGATATGTATCTATGAAAGACAATACCATCAAAGATTATTAATGTCCCAGAATGGCGAAATATATATTTTAAAAAACCAAAAACCAAAACAACTTAAAAAAAAAGATGAGATTGCTCAGTCAGTATAGCAATAGCCTACAGGTTGAGCAGCTGTGTTTCAATGCCCAGCAGGATCAAGATTTTTGTTTTCTCCACAGCGTCCACACTGGATGTGGGGCCCATAAAGAATTAATATCTACATTCATAATGATTCTCTCGGCTATTTTAATTTGTTGTTACATGGCACAGACTACTATTTTATGATGCTGCCTGTACTCATTATGTGTAACTATGTGTGAATGCAGACTTAATACCTATTTTCAACCATTGAATTAAGGGCTTGATGATGACCCATATAGGGCCCAAAGCATGTAGACAAAAATGTTATAATAAGTAATGAAAAGTTATAAGTATTTTATAACACCATATCTGAATAACCAATATACTGTATTCAAACACCATAATATGATGCTCCAGCAGAGAATTCTATAACATGAACCTGGGACAACATGGCTGATTTCAGTACTTAAAAGAAATGAAATTAGAAGATGCTGAGAACAGTCAGGAAGATGATAAAATGAAGAACACTATTTCAAAACTTATGTATATGAAACCCCACAGTCCATCACTGTCAACATAAGCAAAAGATCAAGATGTCATTGGGAAGCCAATTACATAAGGCACAGAAATTGCTAAAAGGGAATAAGCCCAAGTAACCAAGCATTCATACTCAGAGAACAAATTATTTAAATTGTTTTGACATGATTTTTATTGAAGATCCAAAACTCCACAGAAAGCAACAACATTGCACTAAAAGGTGGAACTTTGTTCAACTGTTCAAATGACCTGTTTCTAAGGTTTCAGCAGTGACATAACACAGTACTTAACAATCAGAGATGAATTTATTTTTGCAGACACAGAAACTTGAGAAAACTGGCACAGAAATGCAACACCTATCCTGAAAAAATATGGAAAAAGCTTTGTTGTATTACAGAGCTCAACAATAAAGAACACTGATAATGAAAGCAGAAACATATTAACATTGACAGCTTGGATAGTCAAGTCTGTATAGAGATTGGGCTATTGGCTGCTGGACAAATGATGAATTGGGATTAAATTCATGGCAGTGGAAAGAGAATTTTGTCTTCTTCACAGTGTCCAAACAGCTATGAGGCCCACTCAGCCCCTTATCCAATGGGTACCAGGGGCTCCCTTCCCAGGCATAAAGCAGCTGGGGAGTGAAGCTGAACACTCACCTCCAGCTAATAGTGCTGAGCTTATGAATACCTAGAGCTATACCTTCATTCCTTCATAGGTCTTCATGCAGTTCTTAATTAATCACAGGCACACCTTTACCTTTACCATATTATGGTGAAATGAAGGGCAGTGTTAAGCAGACTGTGGAACTCTGGTGCAGTGTGGAGAGGAGTGAAGAGTTATAACCAATTGTTTTGGGAAGTTTAAACGAATATAAACAACTGACCATATGATGATAAAGTTAGGTAAAATGCACATGTTATCATTAAGTTATTTCATCATTATCTCCTGGGCTTCAGAAGAAGAACAGCATGGACGACTGCTTGACCCCATATGAAGCACATAATCATGAAGGCTTTGAAATGAAGGACTCTTGAGTTTTGTGTTTACCCCTAAATACAAGCTACATACAACCCTTGTATAAGAGCGCCATTTGTTGTTGGAAATGTCTGGTCCATTGTTATTTTAAGGAAATCCAACAAGAAATGTCAGAGTAGTTTAAATCACATGTCATGTACAGGCACTCAAACTATTCCAACATGGGCACCACCAAGATTTTTTCTGGGGGAAGGGGGTGAAGCAACAGCCTGCCTCCTAGGCAGAGAATTTGCTTACAAACTTACAGTTAAGCCTACTTTAATAAAACATTTAAAACTATTTTTACTGACCATCCTAGTGTATTCAGGACAGAATAATATATATTTTTAATATTTGCTACTTTTATTATTAATATCTTGTTTATATCATCGTTTCCTAAATTTAATTTTATTTTAAGAAATCCAGGGGAGACAGATGCCTGCCCCCCTCTTCTGTTTCACCAACGCGGCCTTTGGAAAATAACTGACTGTGGAAGGAGAAGAGGAAGGCCCTGATAACAATGACAGGAGAACTACAGGTACAGGTAGATTACCAACATGAATCCCAAAACTTCAACTACATCACTGCGGATTATCTTTAACTATCAAAATTGCAAATGGACTGCTAAAGTGAGTTCTAAAATTTCAGCAACTACGGCATTGTGAATTAACTTCACCTTTCAAAAGATGATTATACCAACATAAAAAATTAATTATAATCCCTAGCTCTGAGTACAGGGTGTGAAGAGAGAGAGGGGGGGGACCAGCTAGTTTCCTTTCCATCACTTATTGGAAGTCACCCTTAAAGCATTATGAATATTGGATTTCATCATGAGACACACAAATGTGGAAGACAGTGTTGTAAAACTATGGACTCACTGCAAAAATCCATTTAGAAGACAAGCGATGACTCCCTTAAAAAGGGAAGAAATTAAGATCTAAAAGTTTGTGATGATGGCATATTGCTACAAGTATTATGTTTCTGGACATTATCCATCGTCTTATATATTTTCTAAAAACCATCCTGTTTTTTTAAAAAACAACATTTTGGAGACTGGATTCTGTCCCTGTCTAGATGGAGCTAGCTCTATCTATTGGACCCAACTGGGTAGGTTTCACCTGAGGATGGGGACAGAATCCAGTCTCCAAAATGTGTTTTTTAAAAGAAATGGGACGGTTTTTAGAAAACAGACAAGACGATGGATAATGTCCAAAAACATAATATTTGTAGAGAAGAATTTATTCTTATTTTTTATAAACAAAGATATGATCAGTGATATTAACCTATGAAAGTTGTGCATTAATGTTCAAAGTGAATTTGGAATTTTACTTTAGGAGAAGTTAAGGATTTGTAATAAAATCTTCATTTTTCCGAATTTTAGAACTAGTGTGCAGTGTTTGTTTATTGCCAATCCAATAAAATGTTAAATCATCAGTATCGACTCAAATACTCAGCAGGTAATTCTGAAGTATTTTAAATTAATAAGGGTTTACTTAGTGATTGACACAACTGACTGGAAACTTCTGAACAATTTTAACATTTAAAATAAATTTATTTTATTTGGTTTCAAAACTGACCAAATGCATCCTCTTCAGTCCTTTGAAGAGAGAACAGTAACAGAGTTTTAACATCAACTCGAGACTTTAGAGATGCTAACAGATCAAGATGTTTCACTTGCAGCCTGTTTTAGCTTTCATTCCTAATATAGCCATATTTCAGAAAAAATGTTCTTTCAGGGTGGCTCAGGAAAATTTATCTCTGCAATTGACTCAAATGCATATCTGTAGTTTTCATTTAAAAGTGATTGTTTTAGCAAAGTCACTGGACGGCTACTGCTGTAGGACTGTCTCTGACTGTTGTACAGGAAATGATGACATTATTTTTGATAACTTCTGTCTGATTACATCAAAATTAGACTTCAAGAGGTGAGCAATACTATTGTTGATGGTAATAAAATAGCGACAAGAAGAATATCTTTCATGCAGAAAGAGCATTTGGCTGAACTAACACATGTTTAAACCTGTACACATTTTGCAGAAATAAAGAAATCAATTTCAGCACAGATTTCATATTAGATGGAGGTACATATTGTACCTATTGCCCATTATTTCAATATCACCGTTCAAATTCTGCCATTTAAATATCATTATTTGGATGCTGTCATGAAAATACTAAAAACCAAAATGAAAAGTACTAAATGGTTCATCTGATAATTATACTCTTCAATGAAATAAGTATTTGATAATACAGATCACTTATTAATGCTCGTGACTAGATTTACTGCACGTCACAATCCTTCACTAAGCAACTGATCCACATACATAATTTGCATAAAATTAATTATATGTTGAGAAAAATTCCTATTTCTGATCACATCTTGCTTTATTTAAATATGCTGAGCTAAATGCATAAATTACACGTATATCCATTTCAGATAACGAAAGACAACTGTGCAGGTCTCAATATAGTTTATTTCTCCTTGCAACATAACTCATAACAATAATTTGAATCCCAGGAATGTATAGAACTTTGTAACTTTAAACGTTAATTTTGCCATAAATATGCACGATAAACTAAGTAGAACGCAGAAAAAAAATATTTATTATTTATCACCAACTTTGCTATGCATTACAGTCTTAATTTCTATAAAATATGATATGTAACAAGAGTGTCTTGGTTCCTATATAAACATTTCATACCACTTCAACATACTAAGGCTCATCTCTAGATAATACAGTCGAATGTCTCTAGCACTATTTTATCATGATAGCTAGAAGAAATGTTGTAAGTACATAAGAAACAAATACATAACACAGTATACTACTGTGTACCTTATTTGTTTGGAGATAGCACCTCATTTTGGAATGGAATCCCAGCAAAAACAGAAAATTATAGTACTCAGTTGTCTAGAAGATCACTGAAAGTACCGATGGCTTCATGTGGGCATATAGTAAGTAGGTTCTGCCATTATCTTGTTATGTTTCTTGGTAGAACCTTTCAATGATGTCTGCATATTTCCTTAAAACAACATTACGTTTCAGCTTCATTGTTGGCCCTGTTGGTTAGAAATACAGCAAATGAGTAATGTGCCAGGCTGGAATCAGAACAGTTTGCGAGGTATACATAATATTTATTGTGTATATAACATACGTGCATGCATTACTAGTCTATTCAGCCTCTTTACGTGTCTGTGTGCGCGTGCGTGCATATGCATGTGTGTATATGTGTGCTCGCATGCACACACATGAGCAAGTTCATGCATGAATGTGTGTGAACAAGCATGTATGTGCATGTACATATGTATGTATGTATGTATGTATGTATGTACATACATATGTACATACATATGTATGTATATGTACATACATACACATATGTGTGTGTGTGTGTGTGTGTGTGTGTGTGTATGCATGCATGTTATGTGTGCATGCATGCTAAATAAAGTAGGCATAGGGCTCCCAGAACTTCATGTTAACAGAACAAGCTACTTCAATGTTGAATGTTACTCATAACATCCCTGTTGCTTAATTATCTCTAATACTGCTTGTTCAAAAGATTTCATTCCAGTAAATATTTAGTGTTATAGAAGAACATACATGTCATTATATAATGTTGAAACCAAACACGTTTAGTATAAATGAAGAATGAAATAGCTGGACAAATTTTAATAAAATTTTCCACTACAGAATTTAATAAAATCTGCCCAGCGGTTCTCAAGTTATGTTATCCATACAGACAGTTTTGCAAGAACTTAACACATGGTCCACAGAATTGTGTATGCAAATAAAGTCATTATTGGCAGTTCCTTGTCTAACGCTACGAACTGAATTCAATCAATGAAGCTAAAGAAAATGTTCTGTTAATAGAGATAAAAGCCACAAATATATTGTTACTACATGAACTTTGCAGAAAATACACAGCAGATCTTAGAATACATAACTTACCTATCTCCCCAGTAGGAATTGAGAAGTCATGAGGAAGTATCTGGAATTTCTGTACACGTTGTGCATTGGATATTGCCTTGGCATTTGCTTGATCAATGCCTTTCTGTATTGCATCCATGACCTTGAATCAAAATTATTTATGACAAATCCATTTAATATTATAACGGTAGGAAGCAAGTTTCTTTTCAGCGGCCTCCGTAGCCTAGGTGTAACGTTCCCACCTCGTGACTCAAGGTATGCAGGTTCAAACCCGGCAGAGGTCGTGGAATTTTTAAGGGCGGAAAAATTCAGGGAACAAGTCCTCCGGGAGGGACTTTAAGCCGTGGGTCCTGTATCGTAGCTTTACGGCATGTAAAAGAACCTCATGTCCCAATGTCCAAATTTCTTCAGCATGTGCAATATTTTACTTACAAACCTTTAATAAAACATTGCAAGACCAATATTATCTTACAGTAATGAATCATGGAGAATAATAACTGATGAGAAAAGACTGATTCCAACAAAAATGAGTTTCATCAGGACTGAGGGACACAGCTTTCAGAAAACAAATGAAATGATAAGAGAAGAAATTCCGAAATCAACCAAATTTATAGATTTCAAAAGAAATTGTAAAGAACAAGTTGACATGATTCACACACATGCACATACATACTCGTACACATACTTTTCTTAATATCGACAAATTGGAAAGAGGAAGTCTGGGAAGAAGACCTCTAAAACATTTGAAAGATTCTGATATGTAAAATCTGTTATAGACCTCAATAGTCCTAATACTTCAAACGATTATTATTATTATTATTATTATTATTACTATTATTATTATTGTTGTTGTTGTTGTTGTTGTTGTTGTTATTGTTATTATTGTTTATTTACCTGTCTGCATTAATGTGTTTTCCTTCAGTGCTTGCCTGTAATTTGTCTTTGACTTTATGTTGTGATTGTCCATTATGTAATTACTTGTATCTACACTGTGCTCTGTCTGTAATTGGCCTTGCGGCTGTTGACTCAGCACTTAATAATAATGAATTGAATTGAATTATTATTATGATCATCATCATCGTCATCATAGCAGTAGATGATGGTGACTGAGGTGACTGTAGTTGCTGTGGTGGCAGTGAAAACCTCTAACTGTGGCTACAACAGCAAACTTTCACAACTTTTTATCTTATTTTAATTATCCATCCTAATGGCAGATTAATTAAGCTTTACATCTCCAGAATATACTGCACTTTTATGCTACCAAAATAAACAAGATGGCACGTTCAACATGAAACATTATTGGGAGAAAAATTTCAAGATTATTGTGACTACCATCCATAACTTAGGTTGAAATACATTCTTTATTCTTGCTAGTCTTACCAGAATCAAAATAAATATGAAAATAAGCAACCAAAGAGAAAATTAAAGAAAAATTTTAATCTTCACTATAATTTATTCTCCGTGATTTCATTTAGAGAAGTTTCAACATTTCTGGATTACCTGTTTGTTTGCTCCATTCAGAACATCTTTCACAGTACTAGCTTCCAAGCCGAGCTCCTTACACCACTGCTTTGTGACTGGTGCTAATTCTTCCAGAGGCTCACCAGTCTCTAAATTCATTTCAGTCTGTTCGACAGAAAGTGACATAGTTACTCAAAATATACAATGTTAAGCTTATCACTGTTGAAGAAAATTTGTAAAATTGGTTAAGATTATGCATAATGTTTATAACTGAACTGTATAATTTGGCTAAAACTCATTGGAAAAAAGAACCAACTTTGCAATGTATTTTAATATACCAGATAAAATTATTCATATTTGAGCAAACAGTAACTGTCACTTCATGTAACAATTTCATTACTGTATTAAAACTTCTTTCAAAATATGAAATTGGATATTTCTCATGGAATTAAAAAAAAGAATTGGAGTTACATGGGAGGGACCTAATGTAATTTCATTCAACTCAGACAGATATAAGATACATGAAGCGTGTTGTATAATATCCCTTGTTCCCTACAGAATTGTAGAATCCAAACCACACTTTATGTCTTACAATTTCATATGTGTTTCTGTCTGTGAAGTGAGGGGATAAACAGAGTACTAAATACCTTTAATGTGAGAAGAATTGAAAGAAATTTTTTTCTGTCTCCAATGAGCATTGCATTGCTGAGGCATGGAAGTTGAGCCTTCACTTCTTCTTCAATCAGAACTGGTGCAATGTTCTCGCCTCCAGCTGTGATAATCAGCTCCTATATAAAATATGACAGTTAAATGTGTGACAAATCAGACTTTCTAAAAGGCAATGAAGAAGCTATACTTTAGCTATTAAGTTCTTAAAATACTAATTAATGTTGATCAGTATGACTTAGTACCTTAATCCTGCCAGTGAGATATAGAAAATCATTTTCATCGATCTTTCCAAGATCTCCTGTATGAAGCCATCCTTCCTCATCAAAAACTTCAGAAGTCTTTTCAGGGTCATCCAGGTAGCCCATGAAAACGTGCCGCCCATTAATACACACCTAAAAGTATCAAATTAAGAAAACGCTGAAGTATACTGAAACAACAGAAAGAAATCCCATAAATCAGCATCTCCACATCTCCATTGAGATGTTACCATTGCTCCTCTAGTGTAAGTAAAGTAAAAATTGAATTGAAACAGGCCGTGGAGGCCCATTGGGTTGTGAGATGTTGAGGCTCCCACATTTTCTAGACAATCGGCTCACAGATGGCGGTGAGGTTGTCAACCTTATGCGCCGGCCGCCTTTTACCCCCAGGAAGATTCCTGGTACTCATTTCTCTTAGAGGCTGAGTTGACTGCAGGGTCATAGTGCGGCTAGAAGAATTAGGGAAATTGAAAAAAAAAATCCACCACATCAGGATTCAAACCCATGACCTTCCGGCTTGCAGCATACTGCCTCAACCAACTGTGCTACCGCATGCCCCCTCCAGTGTACTTCCCTACATTCCTACATTCCCTACAGTAGCTCTGTTAATATGATTGCTGGTAGCAATAACTGTGTCTTAATATTTGCTATCAGAAAGCATTACAATCTGGGGCCTGGAGTGAAAGACAACTGTCAGCACATCAGGAATTACTGAACTCCATTACATCCACCCTCCTTTGGGCTTCCTTCTCTGGCCTCATTACAGCACCCTTCAACAAAATATTTATGGTAATATTAAACTTTTTACTTCATTAAGCTTCTTCATACTACAAAAAGGTATTTATTCAGCACATGAACCTATGAAGAATATAGGTCTTGAAAGGGATACAAGCAATGCAAATTGATAAGGTCACATAAGAGATTCTGCATCAACAAGAGTGCAGATATTAGCAGTGAAAAAACAGAATTGTTTATATACAAATTCATGTTATACGAATCACAAGCCTCAGCCATACCTGTGAAGAATATTTCAATGGACTCTATTATACAGAATCACTTTAAGTGGAGATCATATCCAATACAGTATGTTCTGTAACTGTGTGGACATACTCAAATATCAGCAATGAAAACTGATGGAATCCTAGACCAAAACTGAAACTCATATATCATTGTGTGTTATGTACATGTATGTATGTGTTTGCACATTTAGACATCATGTTCTCTTTGAATACACTGTTGCAGAAATGATTGGAGGAATGTTACCTTTCGGTCATTGCTTCAGCGTATAATCAGATGTAATGCCAAAATTTAGTGCTCTTGCACTAGCAATCGCCTAACTTCTAGACAATATAAACGATAACTTTCTTCCCAAGCTCACAATTGTTTTTGCTAAGAGATCATCTCAGTTAGAACCATTCGAAATTCATGCTTTCAGCTCCTTGCCCCTTGAGTACAGAATTTTTGTTTCTTGGATTTGTAATGTTAACAGAAAATTACTGCATTCTAATGGTTGATACTCATAGTGAAATATGCTATTACATTCATCTGCAGAAATCTGGAGTCCTGCAGAATGCAGTTTGGTGACTGACAGAGATAGAGAAAATCCAGAAAAATACGAATAAGGATAAATATTCGAAACTTGCATCTCTGAAAATAAAGTTGGAGTGATCAAACTTGCAACTAAGGAACTGTTTATGCAATGAAATTTGCAGCAATGCAATAACAGGAACCACAAATAGCAAGAAATATTACACCTACATCATACTTTCACACAACACATACCATTACGAGTAGAATGAAACAGTGACTCACCTCTCCCTGTTGATCTTCATCAGCATACATAATCTTGGAGTAAACACCATCTCTTTTCTTTCCTGTAGCCTCTAACCTAAATTCCTTCTCATTATTGAGTGTGTGTCCTCCAGTAGTTTCCGTCATTCCAAATGCCTATAACAAAATTTTTTTCTTGAAATAAAGCATTACCATCAACAAGAACAAATGCACCCTTAGAGGTTGTGTTAAGTTCAATTTGTTCACATCTACAGATGGCAGGTGACTGCAAGAGCTTGAATAATGCTTCTGATGGTATACACTTTTAGACACCAACATTATCATTATTAAGGCACGTCAGACTGAATCGCCAACAGCATCAACTCCCATGATCAGCAGTTATGTTAAGTGTATGGTTGAAAATACCATAATTGAAAGAGTTGTCTCTTTAGTTAAGATGTTACGGGTAACTGCGATGGGGAGTGGTACCACCTGTCATGAAACAAGACCTCGAGGGGGGTATTCTTATGATGTCGCTTCATTACTCTGTACCATAACTACGATTCAACGTAACTATAACACAAAATGTTGAACTAGTTGTTTCACAGTCGCTCCTTCGTATTATCAATTCTCACTATACTGTAGAACAGTTGGACTCTCCATGCTGTCTTCCACTGTCTTCTGTCTGGCTTCACAATCCACACTCTCACTCCCAGCACCACACACACTCTCACTCCTCCTGGCTGCCCTTAGTCTCAGCACACTGCCCACACACTCCACTAACAATGACTCTCACACCACTCAGCTGGTCTCTTATATTGTTATCTGTTGCCACATAGTAACTGCAGTGTCCCATTACATCACCTTGGTGGGGCGAGGGGCACAGAGTATTTACTGGCCTGTTACCATAGCGGCGGCAGCAGATCCTATGCTGTTACATCACCGCGGCACTGGTTGCCTAACACAGCTGCTCTGCTGTTACGTCACCACTGGCAACGCATGTTACCATGTCATGCAGAGACCACGATCCTCAACACCACCACAGCATGGGAGTTCTGAACAATTTCTACAGTCATGCATATTATTTTTCTTTTATCCCCTTAACAGGCCGTGGAGGCCCATAGGGATGTTTGATGTTGAGGCTCCCACATTTTCTAGACAATCGGCTCACAGATGGCGGTAAGGTTGTCAGCCTTACCTACCAGCCACCCTTTACCCTCAGGAATATTCCTGGCACTCATTTCTGTTAGAAGCTGAGTTGACCCCAGGGCCATAGTGTGGCTGGAACGATTAGGTCAATTGAAAAAATCCACCTCATTGGGATTTGATCCCGCGACCTTCCAGCTTGTAGCATAGTGCCTCAACCAACTACACTATCGCATGCCCCAGTCATACATATTATACACTAGGTAATTTTTCTTCTGTCTTGCCATGTATCACTTCATAATTCTATAACAGGTAATCGTAGTACAACTGTTAATTGCATTATATTCAGTAAAGGTTGACAATGACATTAAGTTCTTCAGATATGCTTTTTATGAACTCTTACATTATGAACTGTCCTGGGACTAGGATTCCTTGCAGAAGGTAGAACTGTAAGTTTTTCATAGCAACCCTCATAAATTTTTCTCAATTTTTTACAGATCTACTTTGAAGTTATTCTATACATTTTGTACAAACATTTTTTTAAATGCATGCATTAATGTTCTTACATCCATAAGTGGAATGTCAATGCTCCAGAAGTATTTCTTGATGTCAACAGAGATTGGTGCAGCTCCTGAGAGTGCAGTGACACAGCGATCCAAACCCAAGGCTTGCTTGATTCGAGAGAATATGAGTCTTTTGGCTAGCATGTATGAAAACGTGTTGCTGTCAATTCTGTAACATTAAGAGAATTGGATTTATTTACAGTTCAACTTATTGCACAAAAAAGTTACAATGCTGAGACACAGTATATCCGTTTTAGGACATTTTTCAAAGGACCAAGGAGTATAACTTCCTTTAGAAGGAAAACAGTTTAAAAATTAACAATCAAGTTCCTTCCGTCAAATGTGACACTTTTTTAAGTTTTCCACCTCGTCAGCACCTGCCTTACATGTTTCGGCTCACCACGGAGCCATCATCAGAGGCATTTATAGTAGAAAAAGAAATCACCAACACACAAACCTTCACTTTGTCCAAGATAGCCACGTTCCAGTTTGTCCAGTGGACAAAGTGAAGTTTTGTGTGTTGGTGATTTCTTTTTCTACTATAAATGCCTCTGATGATGGCTCCGTGGTGAGCCGAAACATGTAAGGCAGGTGCTGACGAGGTGGAAAACTTAAAAAAGTGTCACATTTGACGGAAGGAACTTGATTGTTAATTGGTTAGTGTGACGGACCAGAATGAAAGACCTTAAAGTTTAAAAATGTATNAGGACCAAGGAGTATAACTTCCTTTAGAAGGAAAACAGTTTAAAAATGTCCACTTCAAAATGTTCACAGAATGAAAAAACTAATGGAATGGACATATTTTTAAAATAAATACATGGCTAACAACACACTAAATACACAGGCTTTCAAATATATACTACAATATACTTTCTCCAGGTTAAAGTTGAACAGACTGTTCTGAATAATTTCTAGCACAGTTTGCTTCATCTTTCAAATATATCTGAAGTAAAACTTTCCAGTTCCCAGAGGTTTTGACAATTTACTCTGGCATGTAATGAATGATACTAAGGGGAAATAGTGGTATGTATCCAAACATGATACTGCTTCACTACAATTAGGAATTGGTCTCCTCTTGCTCATCATCAGTTTCTGTATTCTTGTCCCCAGTACAGAGGCTGTCAATTTCCTGAATGACACAAGGAAGAGGTTGTCATCAGCCTCTACACTGTTCAAATGTGAATGTCACATCATCTCCTGAACACCCTCCCAGATGTGAGGGCTTACTTCCGAGCAACCATTTTCTTCACTGTGACATTCTGATGTTTTAAAGTATCCAGCCTTCCAAATAATAAACTGCAATCATTTCCATACTGATGGCATTCCACAATGATGGCAGAATGGATATGGAATCAAATAAAGGTATTTTGTTGCAGTCTTTGGTGGATGTGATTCTCTGACGAACTTCCAAACAAGATGCACAATATTTATTTTTCAGAGACCTGATTATCCCTTGGTCTATCAGTTATAGTATGGATGTTGTGTGACCATTTCCTCATAAGTTTTGGATTCCTCACTCATGGTTCTGTAGCTAAACCATGCATGTTTTCTGAATCAACCATGTTTATTTTTTAAGCGACATCTTCAGCCTTTCATTTCAACACTGGATCTTCTCATATTTAGAAGTTTTTAACATTTTTCTGCCTAGCTGAATTGATATACATTAGTGAAGTAAGTATTCTGCTTTTCTTCTTCACCATATTATTATTTAGTACTAGCTGTACCCGGCCACGAGTTGCTGTGGCAGATCGAGTGAATTGCTTCCGCTCCGCGAGTACGACAACCTAAGTTTGATCTTCTGCGAGGCATTATTTGAATGAACTAAAGCAGATCGATTGCACTGAAGAAGAAGAAAGAAAGTTATAACAAAAACATATAAAATTGCAAAACATTAAAAAAGGAAAGAACACGAAATGAAAAACAATGAAAAATAAACTATGCTCATGAAATGAACGACGTATAACACGTTACAGTATATTAATATTGAGTACCATTAATATTTTAACAACCAACCAACCTGTCACAGGTGTGACATATGTCACACATGATTTTAACATCATAAAGTCTTAAAATACATTTTTAGTGAGTGACATATTCTCGATGTCTTTTAAAGTGTTGCATTATTTACGTGTACTTTGATAATAAGAATATGTTGCGTGTTATCTATGTAACGTTTTTGTGGTCACATGTCTCCTATTCAGTACGAAAAATAACTTCCACATACGTCTGGGAATCAGCGAATAAGTTATTGAACGCTCACTTTTACACCAGCGAGTACAATTATTATCACGTCCAGTATCACCAAAAAACTCTTCGGAGCTGGACTGTTATAACCTGGTTTCAGACGCAATAGAGGGCACTTTCGCCCAGGGTTCGATTTCACGTGTTCTGTGCTCGTTGCCGCGGTTATTCCTAGGCAATGATCTGTTGGTATTCGATGGACGACAGAACACCCTGTAGAAGTGTCTAGTTTCATCCGTTGTTACGCAACAGAACCTCTTATCCTATGCAACTGTTCTAGCATTACTACGGAAACGACTGCTGGATTCGGAACATGTGACATGTTTTTACGTTTTTTTATGTACCTATTATATAGATGTCACACCTGTGACAGGTAAAAACAGGTAAAAACATGTCACATGTTCCGAATCCAGCAGGCGTTTCCATAGTAACGCTAGAACAGTTCAATTTCCTGATTCATACACACAGAACTTTGACAAATGTCTCCGTATCCTAAGAAGCGGCTTTGACCTTCCTTGGGGAGGTCCGATGCTTCTAGGTGTTTGATTTCAATTTCCTGATTCATATGCAACGGAACCTCTTATCCTATGCAACTGTTCTAGCGTTACTATGGAAACGACTACTGGATTCGGAACATGTGACATGTTTTTACCTGTTTTTACCCGTCACAGGTGTGACATCTATATAATAGGTACATATAAAACATGCGTATTCGAATGCAACGTTGTGTCAAAATTTCAAAGCAATCGGTGAAGAACTTTCGGAGATCTTCGATCAGAGACAAACGAACATTTACATTTTTATTTATATAGATTGGCAATGGCATTTTGAGTCGTTCCACAACATGTGCATGCATTACATGGTTGAGTAATACCTTCTTCATGATCTTCAGTTTCTCAGAAACTAATGCCTTATATTTTTATGTTTCAATTTGTAGCAACACATACAGTTATATATGACACACAACTTTATGATATTCAACATACATAACCTTTTACACAAAGAACCATGCTACCAGCTAGATGGATAGTCAGAAAGTCACTGCTAATACTGTTCAACTTCTACCCTCACCCATCACTACTGAATGCTATTATAAGCACTGCAACATGTTTGATTTATGTGAGATCTGCTTTCTCTCTCATTCATTTTTGTATATACGGAACATAGGAAGACAAAAACGTATTAAAGGGATGCAATTTTGTATGTGTCTTCAAAATTGCACTTCTTAGGCAAAATATTTGTATGTGGAAAATGTTACAAATACAGTATTCTCATGGTATTAGTAGTGAGACCAGATGAGTTTAGCATCTTTGGCAGGAAACCATATTAAACAGGATCATCTTCTGTGGAGCCCACTGTATTTGCAATTACTGCATTACTAAATACATAAAAAGGTAAAAAGGTAAAGTTAGACTGTAATCGCCCCTAGGGTTGTGAGAGGTCAAGGCTCTGCAGTTTATCTAGACAATCGGCTCACAGATGGCGGTAAGGTTGTCAGCCTTATGCTCTGGCCACATTTTAATCCCCGGGGAAGACCCTGGTACTCATTTCTGTTAGAGGCTGAGTCGAACCCAGGGCTGTGGTGCAGCTAGAAGGATTAGGCAAACTGAAAAAATCCACCTCATCGGGACTTGAACCTGTGACCTTCCAGCTTGTAGCACAGTGCCTCAAGCAACTACACTACCACGTGTCCCCACTGAATACATAACTTTCTATATAAAAATTTCAGAATAAGAAAAATGCAGACAAAAACATATTTAGACTAGAGGAGGATAAAAACAGCAATAATAAAATATAATACTAAATCAAAATTTATAAGGAAATGTTTAAATTATCTTTAGTTCTTAATGTGAGGGTACTCATAGTTCTTTTTCTACCATCTGTGGACCAGAACACTTCGCATTCCAACTGGAGTCACCATATAGCCCCAACCTTTCTAATTGGACAGGCCCCATAAATTAAGAACTATGGCTTTAGAGGTACTTGGGATAAATAGTATTAAAGGTCCCCTAACTGTAACATGAAATTGGGAGAGCAAAGAAAGGCACATAAGCTTTATGCAATTACTCACCCATTCATCTTGTCAAGGTAATGCTGAAGTCCATGTCCCTTTGCCCAAGTTGCAATAGCTCTTTTAATCACACCTGACTGCCTGCCAATTTCTTGCATCTTCTCATAAATCTTCTCCCAGACTCGAGGTACAGCAAGGAACCGAGTAGGACGAACCTCCTGAAGAGTTTTCACCAGACTTCCCTAAAGATCACATTATAATATGATAAAATGTGCAACAGATGAGGAGAAAAAAATCACACTGATTTATTTAATGACATTATATCAATTGAAAAGACTAACTAGCATCATGATAAATGACACAGCCTTTATACGATTACATGATATGCAAGGTTTTCGGGCAGAATATTCATATTATGACCTTCCAGGTTATGAAATCATGCACTGTGTTAGAATATCTACACTTCAAAACAACATACTGCCTTCATCTTCAAGGCAGAAGTGACCCTAAAGATAGAGGCAGTGTGTTCCTCTGAAATGTTGGTAACAAACAATGATCACAGTACTATTATGAACTTCGTGTTACAGCATTTAATTATCTTACTGTGACAGCAGGCAACTAATCTAATATTTTATTTTCATAACAATCAATTGTGAACATAAAGTTCAACATATACACAATGAAGGGAAATTTGCACACAAGCTCTCCATGGTGCAATTTCTTGTTAAAAAGTGGAGTGATTGTTGTGAATGTTAAACATGGATAAAACTTGCATCTGTTCACAGCATGTTATGAAGGAGTTCATCCACAGTGTACTGAAGTCATAGCCATTCATAAAGTTGCACCCACAGAGGCCAATCATCTCAAAACAGATGTGCACTGTGTGAGTATTAGTATGGATGCAACTGATCATCATGAAGCACTCTCGAGGACCCTTGGTTGGGATAGTCCTAATTCTTGTGAATTATAACATGAGCTTCTCCATGACTTCCATTCCACAGCTACAATTATGACGTCTTCAGGGGCTGCTGTCTGTAGAGTTCTTGAGCAATCTGTATTCACGCGTGCCACAGATATTACACTTCCTGTCTCACCTAATCCCTGCTCCATTGTTGGAACATGTTAGTGTATGGATGACATCAACCTGGAAAACGTGGCATGTATTCCCACGCAGTAGAACCAACTCAACTATTACAGGTGCTGAGGGTTAAGAGCATGTCACAGTATTGGTTGTCTTGTGTATTCCATGATCATTCAATCACACATGACCCATGTTATGTACTGTTTGCCTTTAGTATACCTAACAATGTGCTTCGTATCATCATGACATATAACACTGCTGAAACGTATGTTACATTTAACAGTGATGTGTATTTCAAGTGCTAAGCAGCTCAGTCATATGTTGTATAACATTTCTGACTTTCTTTAACAAGCAATCTCACTATGGATAGCTTATGTGTGAATTTAATTTCACCCTTTACATTTTGAGAACTGTGTGACTTGTGCACTGCAAGAGTTTTAGAAAGATTAAAAGTAATAACATATGAATATAAATTCAACTGAATTTCTGTGCTTATCACAGCTGTTAATACATTACACAACTCAAACACTGTACCACTGCATAATGACTTGAATCTGAGAGCTAAGGGAATAAAAATAATTCATGCATGGACATTGAAGGACTTCCACTACATTAAAAGCAGCAGGATGAATATTATATTTTTTGCATCAGTTATTTTTATTTCATCTCTTATCCACGAAACACTTACTTTAAGGGCATCTTTGTCAGCGAAGTAGACTGTTGCTGCAGCTGCTATAGAAATGTGAAAGTCCAAAATCTGAAAAATAGAACAGAACATGAAAGATCTGTCAGATGTCCAGAATCCTCGGTCAAGTAACAGAGCATGTAAGATTTTGTTTGTTTGTGTTTGTATTTATTGTAAGTTCAAGAGATCCTAAGATGGATATAGAACATGTCATAAAATAATATAGAGCACAGAATACATACATATTACATAACTAGACAGTACAATGAAAACAATAATAATAAAAATTATCTATTTAGATATTCATCCACAGTATAAAACACATGAGTATTCAAGAAATGCCTTAATACAACCTTAAACTTTTTAAAATTATTAGATGTGTTCTTGGTCTCTATGGGCAATTTACTGAATATTTCATACCTGCATAATAAACTCCTTTTGATAAATAGTTAAATTAGCTTGAGGTAGATACAAATCTTGTCTTTGTCTAGTATCAATAGTATGAGAATCAATGTTTGATGGAAAAAGAACTTTATTTTGCAATACAAATACTAACAACAAAAATATATATTGTGATGCAAATGATGTGTTTCTACACGAAACTCTATTGCCATATCCCAACATCGCTCTGATAGCCATTTAGCCATTTTTTGGAGAAGAAATTAGTAGAACTATGAGATGAGTTTCCCCAAAAGATGATACCATAGCTCATTAAGGAGTGAAAAAAAAGGAATAATATGAGTATATTACCTTTAAAGCTGAAACAGACATATAATATTTCATATTTCTAATTAATTAACAAGCCTTAATTTAATCTTTTTAAAAGTACAGGAAGCCCTTGAAAAATGCTGTCCCACTTAATGATGATTCATTATTACAATTATACTATTTCTCTATCAATGTTCCACACCAGATTGTGTTAACTCAATATTATCTTCCTATTCAGACATTAATAGTGATTTGGATTTACTGGCTCAGAATCCTGAAGAAGACTGTGATGACAAGAACAAGGTTGTGGCCGCCAGAACTCTGACTGTAAAACGCATATCTCTAGCATGCAGTCACACAGAAGAGGGACTATATATTATTGTAATTACAAGTGCATGTATTCATAGCCAAGATCGTGCAAGCATTTACAACTGCAATCATATCATCTATATTGCAATGCATGTTATGGGAGTGTAGAAAGGCTGAGGAACGCTGAAAAATCTATAATGTCGTCTTCAGCTGTTTTATCTCATAAGATATATGTAATTATCATATTTTATATTTATATTTGTATTTGATAATTAAACTTTTAGTATACCTTAATATTGAAATTTTGCGAAATGTATATGTTATGGTTGTGATGTGTAGGTATTTTATGGGTTGTAATTCAATCGATTGTAACTTGAACGATTTCCACTTTTTTGTGGTTTGCTTGTATTTGTTTTATGACTGTTCTGTATGTGACTGAGTTCTATTTTGTGAACTGTTTTTGTGTATGTTTTAATTTAATTGTGACTTGTTCTACATCCCAGGCTTGGCCATAAAGGATTTATTGAATTTAAAAAATAAATGAAATGAAAATGAAATGTAACTACTATGTTAAATGAGGACTTACTGCATTACTTTTAACTAGCATGAAGATCAATGATATTTCAATGGGAAACTGTAACAACAAACTTTGTAAAAATGAATAACCTCAATAACTCAGGAAGTTCTGGAATCAGAGCTACATTAATATTCATATACTAAACTTTTTAGATTAATAGTGTGCGCTTTTCAGTACAGGTGGATATATTAATACCGACTCGAGCATACTTTCTGCTGTGCCATCTTTTTCTCCTATATATAATTACCTGCAACTATTTGTGCACATCCGTAAATGGTTATATAAAACAACAGAAGAGTAAACCTTAATATTTTATAAAATTGTTGTCATCACATACGAATCTTGGATTTTGAATTTAAAACATACTGTTACCTGTGCTGCTACATGACTAAGTGGCAGGAAACTGACAAGGACTTCATTTCCTTTGGAAACTCCCATATATTGTGCAATGGTTTTCGCATCCCATGTAAAGTTGTCATGGCTCAACATGGCAGCCTTTGGGTTACCAACTGTCCCAGACTGTAATTAAAAGAATCATTTCTTATCTTTATGGTCAAAAAAATTTTGTTTGTGACCATATGTCTTCCCTGTTTGTAAGTGACGTTCTACTTCTTATGAAACAACCTAACATATCATTCACAAACCGCACAGGAAAAGGTCGAAGTTTATTTGGTTAATAAAATGTTTTGCACATCCACATATACAGAGTGATCACGAAGTCCCTATGCATGAGACTGTGTCCTCTGTTAATTATTTGTTTTATATTTGTGTGGATTTATTTGGTGTATAAGTTTAGCGAAATAGAAGTCCTGAAACAGCTAGAACATTCATGGCTTTTCAACATTAAAAATGATTCCATGGAAATATACTGTCATGTGTTAGAGATGGATTCTAGATTAGATTTATTGACCACTTACAGGTCTTACTACAAATTATTATAACACTATTACTAATTTCCACACTTTACAAATAACTACAGCACATGCAAAGTCATTTCAGCCTGCTGTCTCTTCACCATTTGTTCCCTGGTAACGCCTTCTAAGAATGGGGATTCTTCAAATGCACCGACCACGTCTTCTCTTCTCAGACTCCCTTACCACTGACAACTCAGCGTCAGAGTCAGAGTTACTTTACGACTGGCAGTTTACCGCCAATGAGTTTACCTTGGCGTCAAGCCCCTTGAGACTCATGACCAAAGATCTTTTTCTTTCCAGCTGAACCCTTGCAGTAATAGTCTGTATGTAACATTCTCTCTGATGAGATGATGGGGTTCGCTCTTATGAATAAGCCTGGCCTTTTGTCAAGCGTATGTATCACACTCATAGCATGTTACTGAAAATTCTTCCTTTTGCACTATATACAACTACATACAACCTCTCATGTGATGTGAGATGAGTCTCTGAAAGCAGAGTCAAATCTGTATGTAAGTCTTGCAGCTATTTACTGAGCTAATAGCGCTGCCTCAAAGTACCATTTGCTGCATTGGCACTTGCATTACTTTGCCCTCCTCTGATAAAGCTTCACCGAGCTCTCTCACGATGTCACGCTGCAGTAGTTACTTTTAACTTGTCAGTGTCAGACAAACTGGGAGCCTGACTGAAAGACCCGTTTCCTGAATTTCCTGCTGTCATAGGTACTGCTGCATGGGGTACTGCACGCTTTTCCTATCTGTCTGTGGTGCCCCTTGTTGCTGATGTTGAGTGTCTTGATGCAATGCAACTGCATAGGACTGTTCTGATGAGGTGAACTTAGAGAATCACGTCTGCCCAGAGAATCCCTTGGGCGCTTGTGCTCTTCTTTCGCATGGCTGAAGCTTTAGTATGACTCTGCACAAGGTTTTCTCTCCTTCTACTAAGGTGCAATTACAACAGCTCGGGATAGATTCTGTATTTGTCTCTACGACACCATAAACATCTAGGGGGTTGCTTGCAGTTGGCCCAGACATGGCTGAAGTTTTGACAGTTGTAGCAATGCATAAGGTCAGTCTGAGCTCTATATGGGTCATGCTAGTCAGCTTGAGTATATCTTGAGATTTTAAGTGTCTTGTTAAGTTAACCAGGAACTGAGGAAGGGTTACAATGTTGGCTTGTGCATGGGGTGTTCTTCAATTGGCCCTAACTGACAACATCTAAACTTGTCTGTTATATCTTGGCTCGGACAGCGTAAAAAACACAGATCATTGTTGTAGTCCAATCGTTTCTCTGGGAAGGTGTTTCTTTTGAGTAACGGCTGCATATACTTACTTATTAAGAATTAGCTGCCTAGCAGTGAATGTTATTTCAGTGTTTGTTTTGAGGTCATTACCCAGTAATGGGTCTACACACTACAATATATTTGTGTGGAATTTCTCAACTCTGCCTAACAGTAGTTGAAAACATAAAACCAACTATCAGGAACTGCTGTAATTACTTCAAACCATCAACATGGAAGAAGACATACAGAAGAACAAGGGGAAAAATTAAAACTGTGCAGAGAACTGAAATGAGCATACAGATAACTTCTGACATGTGTAAGGACTCAATGGCCACTTTGTACACATTCACTCAGAAAGCACTAGATTGTTGCTTACTGTCTGTAATGCAAAAGAAAAAGGATACAATTGACAGTTCTGTGAACCCACATTTAAGAGGACTGGTATAATTTTTATGCACATGGATATGAAGTTCTGCTATGGATTCATTCGACGTACATTTGCATGAAGCCCCGTACAATGCTCATACATACGTACATACATACATACATACATAGCATTCCATAGATCCATGAGTTAGTCAGATGACCTACCGGATGTGGAATTAGTCAAAAATCATACAATACATATATACATGCACAATTCAAGTTCACATAAATAGTAAGAATTTCACAAAAGTAGTAAAATATCCGTCATAAATCCATACATTAACATACACCAGATTTTTTTTCCTGTGTTCCAAACAAGAGAAAACATTACATACACTTTATGTTGTTTGGAAGCATAAATTCCTCAACAGAGTAAAAGGAGTGTGTAATTAAGTATCTCTTTAGTGCTACTTTAAATTGTCCCTGTTTATCTATAAGAGTTGTGATATTTGGTGGTAGATTGTTGAAGATTTTAATGCCAGTATAATATGCACTCTTCTGGAAACAAGAGAGGCTGGCAACTGGTCTGTGAAGCTGACTTTTATTCCTTGTGTTGACATTGTGTATTGTAGAATTGGTTGGAAAAAATAACAAAGTAAACAGGTAAACAATTAGTACAGCTTTATGTAAATTATATACTTCTGTTCATTTGAAGAAACTGTAAGTAAATTCTAATTGTTAAATCTTCTATAACTTTAATGTCCCTTATATTGTAGACCATGCACTGCTAATCAGATTGTAATGTTCCACCTTCCTTAGGATACACCATAGTTTGTTGGACAGTGCAACATATATTCTGAATGAAATTCTGTGGAAGACAATTCCAGTGTGTTTTATGCAGTTTGCTACAGAGCTACAGTTACTTCTATTACTTACTCTGCAAACCTTCAGTTAGATAGCATGAAACTACATTGGTAATACCTACAAAATTAGCAACTTCTCTATATCTGTAAACAACGATTACATATTTTGCCTTGCATATGTATAAATTATGCCAACAACACATCTGTTACCCATAATCATAGATGAAGTAACATAACTTATATCAGTTCCAAAAGTGTGTATTGGCTTATAACAAACATAAGAGTACTGCACTTCTGACAACAGTTTCTAATCCATGTCTAACATGTAGGTCATGCTTTAGTAAACAGCACTCACAGTGAATACAATTGAGCAGCACTCATTGACACCAATTGTTTTCAGTACGTTGTTCAGATGTACGTCTGGCTCTCCACGTCCCAGCTTCATCAGTTCTTCCCACTGCAAAAAAAGAAAATAATAATTTCGTAACAAAAATTATTCTACAGCTATGATTACTGAATTAAGTATCCATACGTTTCAATTGCAATACAGCATGAGTCTTGCTTTTTTGGGCATGTTGCTGCTTTGCATAAAGCAGTGTTCTACAATTGGAATGCTACCATAAGGTTCCAGATACACAGCAAAGTTTTGCAATGGTGTAAAAATTGTTCAAGTACAAAAATGTGTAAAACAGTACTAAATATATTATTATGTAACACTGTTCATGTGTGTAATTTGTGGGAAGGTGGGTGACAATGTACATTCCTACATATCTTACACTGGCACCTGCTTCTTCTAGGTCCTTTTATCTTCATCTTTTCATAAGTACAATTTGTGACTTTTACTGACATCTAATGCGTTTGAAGACAGTTAACATTATTTTGAAACCAAACTACTGACATAACTAATACTGTCACTTACTTTAATTAAAAATACAGAAACCCCATTATTTTGGGAGAGAATATAAAGGGTAAAAAAGGATACCTTTTGTTTTAAGAAATACAGTAAAATCCTCATTTACTGTTTCTCTGAAGGACAAGAGGCACGAACAATAATTGAGGAAATCCTTAATGGAATACTCTTTTATTTATTACATGCTCATTACCCAATATACGATTTTTGGACACATTTTCGAAGGATTAACTAGGCCTGTTTTATATTGTGATTTTGTCCTTTTGTTCAACCCTGGTGGGTTGTGATACCAGTTTCATCTGTTCTGTTTACAACACAGTTTTGACTACAGCTGAAAATGACAAACACAAATGGAAGTACTCAAGGTATCTGTTCAGAGCAGGGAATTTGAACACTGTACTAAGTAAACCCATAAACAGAGCTAATTTAACACTGAGATTATTGACTTCAGATCTTAGAAATGTAACACTAAATGAAGAAATCCTACAATCAAGGAACATTAAATGTGGGTTCCACTGTAGTTTCTTTTTACGAGAGCTGGATACAATAATCATGTTTTTCCCTTCCCCCTTGAATTCAGACAGGCTCCTCTGAAAAATCTCTCCATAAAATGAGGCCATGATGACACTGCACATTTTAGTTGCAGGTCATACAAATTTTACCAAATTCAACCTACAGATGCCTCCTACAACAGTAGTCTTTCCATTGTTAGCTGTTGTAATTTTCATGAAATATTTTATGAATAAGCTTCTTGAAACATGTCCTCTACATTTTTTCAATACTAGATGACATGATAGGATTGTGAATATCAAAAGCAGAGCCCTTTAGTTATATCTATGACTACACTACCTGTGTGTACCTCATCTGACCTCTCATCCATTACACTGCATTGTATGACTGTGCTCATTCACTGACTTGCATTTGGCAGACACCAAACTTGAATTATGAATAACTGTCCTGAGGTATGTCATGGTTTTTCTCAATCCCTGTGATAAATGGCATGATGGTATCTACAACCCTTTCATATCACATTTCTCCTAATTCATCATACACATTCATCCACTGTTATATAAATTCAGCACTGAAATAACATAGAGTACCCAATAAAAAACAAATGCATACTAAGTTTCCAGCTTCTTTGACAATTTAGTTGTATTAAGGAAATATTTTGAAGATTTTAATTATCATGATTTACCACAGTATTTCCAAATGTCATACTTATCCTGAAACGTTTCCTTTTAAATGGCCATGACTTGCACTCCCTAGTAAATATTTCAAATGTGATCCTCAGAATGGATAACTTCTGCCATCAGTAATTTAACTGCAGTGAGACTTTTGGGACATTCTGCATTACATTTGTTTCTTAAATTGATTACTCTTTCAACACAAAATGTCACATTCATTATGGCATTGCATGAGAACTTGTAGTTAAAGCATGCATGCACTTCTGGGCATTCTGTATTGCATTTGCTTCTTACAGTGATAATTCCATGAATATAAAACCACATTTATTATGGTACTGCATGATGGAATGTAGTTTATGTATAAAAGGGCATTTGGGGCATTCTGCATTGCATTTCTTTCTTACACTGATAACTCCTTCAACTTCAGGTTTGTCATGGTACTGCACTATAGCTTTAAGCTCCGGAAGCTTGTCTTTGAAGTCCAGAATTTTATCCAACTGCTTCTTGTCCTCCACTACAATAATATTAGCGTAGCTTCTTACAGCACAGTAATAGCAAGCCTCTGATGAATTTGTTGTATAAATTCCTGCAGCAAAGCCACTGAAATAGATCAAGTATCAAAATTAAAAATGAAATCATAATGGCATTCAGTAAAGTAATCTGAAATGTTCTTTCTTTCCTTCTTGACTTCTAGACTGCAGTAAATGGAGGACATGTAATGGCAAAAACTGTGGTATTAAAATTAGAAGACAGGTTTCACATTTTTGAAGACTCATATCATGGTCTTCCGGCTCCTGACATCATGTACCAGACTACATGGTGTCATAATCCAGATGACCACAATAGGAAAATAACTAGTCTCACAGTTATTGTGAAGTAGTAAAATAAAGATGGTGCACAGACATTTTACATATTTTCTCACATACAACTGGCGTTTACTATACCACTTTGGAAATAAAATCAAACTTGATCAGCAGACCAGCTGGTCAAGCAAAGGCAGCTTCAAGAAAGCTGGCATTCCTCATTCAGGCCCCTTATTGTTTTTTCTGATGACAGGAACTACAGTTTTACTTGGGGATGTGGTCTTCATAAATTATGGAAACTAATCAAAATCATCAAAGCTATTTTGTGTTCTGTGGCTCACATGAAGGACCCTGTTTCCACAGCTTCAACATTCAGTCACAGGGCACCAGCCTAAGGTCAGTGAACCTTTGAGCACTGAATCAGAATGAGATCCAACCAACCATTCAGGTACTAGTGAGGCACACAATAATATATGCATGTATGCATAGTGCATAATGCACAATGCTAGACCTACTGAGACTTGTAGTGGATATCATAAAACTGAATACTTCCGTCATTTCAGAGGTATTCTCAAACACCTCTCTTCACTCTTGTGATATTTTAGGACCCCTTTCAGAATGCCATCAAAAGTTCTTCTGAATTGTTCTATAATTTTTACATCCATGCAACCCCCCCCCCCCACAGACAAAGAGAGAGAACATGCACACAGAAAAGAAAAGGATGAATAAGTAAATGCAGGGGAGAAGGAGATGAGGAGAAGACAATGAAGAAGTCAGTGAAGAAGAATAATATTAATTTGAAACTGCTGTAAAACTGTTCAACTTCTTTCGAATGTACTTATAAAAACCTAAGTCTACAGAAACAAGCAAATATAATAATAATCCTATTACAGTTCTTTCGAAGCAAGTGACTACTCTATTATACTGAAAGGATATATGCCAGAGAACAGATGATGGGTGTCTGGTTAGGATATAAAAAACTATGTTTCACTGAATGTGATATCCATTATGAAAACAGTAATATGTTGAAACATTGTTCCCAACTTTTCAATATCTACAATAGCACTATTTTTTAGGTTTATTGAAGAATCTGTCCTATTAATTAACGAAGTTACAATTATAGATATTGCAACTGAATGTAAAAAAGGGATGTGGCAGACGTTACTTGACATTCTCCAACAGATTTCATTTAAGCAGTAGCAGCTACTGCTCTCCACAGCTATTCAACTGCTCTGAAGATGGAGGCGCTACGTTCCTCCGAAACGTCGGCCAAAACGAAGAATACACGGTGCCTAAACCCAGAAGACAACTTTCTTCATTGTCATCGCTGTGAAAACCTCAAAACTTACATAGATTTCATTTAATTTCTATGCTTTATTTCTCAGCAGAGAACTGTGCCAACTTCCTCTGTAAGACTTTCATCAGCCATAACAAAATTACCAAAAAAATAGCTATTTTCACTGAGGCTCTCTTGCTTTTTCCTTCTCCTCCTCCATACAGAAGTCAGAATAAGTCACGACTACTTTCTTCTAAATCGTTGCCTATCTGCCTTATTACTATCTTTCCATCTCATTTGATTATGTAATACTGATGCAGACAGAATGTTCATAATATAACCAAAAAACTGTCAACATTTCAGAAGGTTGTTATTTGATTAAAATCATCAATTAATAGACAAGTTTAAAATGCTGTTTGCAAGTTGTAGTGTATCTTACCCAGCATACATAGCACCCAAATAAGAAAAGAACCATTCTGGTGAATTGAAGCCCAGGATGCAGACAGAATGATATCGCTTCAGCCCTAGCTTCAGGAATCCTTTTGCACATGTCCTCACAGAAGCTTCATATTCTCTGAAATGAAAAGCTGATATGACCAAACACAGTTTTTATTCTTGACACAATTTTTTTTTTTTTGCTTTTTTCTTCTGTTTGTCAGAACAAATCCACAAAATTAAGATTACATATCTCCTCAACATTGCAATGGATACATCATATGAACCAATTAATCTAATTTAATTAAAGTTTGGGGTTCATACTTATATGTCATTTCCTTCCATTGACCATCTTCACGTTTGGAAACAAGTGCTGGATGATTAGGGTATTCTTGAGCTATCTTGTGCAAAAGTCCAGGTACAGAGATGGGTTCCCTGGTGCCCATACCACTCTCTTCACATCGTATTTTAACACGGCCATTGGCGTTCGATGTAAACAATCCTGTTGCTGGAAGCACTTGGTCAGGTCCTAAAGGAAAGAATATATGACATATATTTCTAATTGTGGTTATTCTCCATAAATATATCTCAATTCATTTCTGTAATTATGTAAGGTCTACTTTATTGCATTTTCAACCAAGGGTCTGAAAAAATCACGAACTGCTCTGTGGTAATTTTACAAGTACATTAATTACTGACTTATGACTGAATTATCAAAAGAGTAAGTATCTGAAACAAAATAATCTTAACTGTTTCAATTCAGATACCATTTCTGCTAAAAAAAAAAACTAAGAGACATATGAAATGGCACCCATGAGTACTCACACCTGTGCTGATGCACTTGGAAATTAAAATGAAACAAACTATAGAAACTATGCATTGAGATGCAAAATATTAGTTATTGACTGTCAAACAGTTACATTTCTCATTCAAAATACAGTACACTCTTGCTAATCTGGATTAATTTGGGGGAAGAGGCCATGCAGATTAACCGTTAATCCATATTAATGAAGCAAAAGATAGCCCTAACGGACAAAAAAAACTTAGAAAACAAATATGTGGAAAATGTAATAACACAGGTAGTGCTGATAAAAATGAATATAAAAAATGTCACTGTAGCAATTTCTTCCTCTGTCAGAAGCTGAAATCCAGGGTCTCCTTCAACCAGCTCTAGCAAATCTTTGATATTTTCTGCGTGATTTCAGTCTCTTCAGCTGCCCTCAACACAGTCTGAAAGTCATCTTACTGTAATCCCGCCTGCTCCTAAATCCCATGTGTGGAGAGAATTTTTCATTTTTCATATTTAGATCAGATTAATTGTAACCGAATTAGGGCGGGTTTACATCCTACAGAAGTTTTGACCTACTGCCTGAAAATGGCCAACATATCACTGGCTATGCCATGCTTTCAGAGCTGTGGTTCTGCAGTTTTGGTGTGCATTCGCTTCCCTGCTTATAACGAGTCCTTCAGTGGAAGTAAAGCGGCGTTCTTCCCTACTCTTCCTTCTGGCAATTCCCTGTATTAAGCACTGTGATCACTGGAGAACAAATATTTTATATTAAGGGGGTGTTGTTAAGGTGAGGTGCATTAATACCAAGTTTGACATTCATTTATTTTAAAAATTAGATACTTAATTTTCTGTTAGTTAATACAATCATAAGAGCCAGGATAGCTCAGTCAGTATGGTGATTAGGCTTAGGGCTGGACGACCGGTAAATCATTTTTCAATTCCCTGCAGAAGCAAGAGATGTCTCTCTCCTCTATAGCGTCCAGACTGGTTCTGTGGCAGATCCAGTCTCCTATCCGATAAATTCTGGAGTGCTGTTTCTCAGGGAATAAAACGGCCAGGGCGCGAAACTGACCATTCACCTCGATCTGGTGCCGAGGTTAAGAATGTGTGAAGCTATACCGCCTCTGCTCCATCCGTCTTCACGGCATCGTGCTAACACAAGCAAAGTCACGACTTCAGAGTTACAGATATAAGGACCAACTTGAAGTGGATCATGGGGAAATAGATAGTGAGGATAACAACTATAACTGACCTGACTCAATATCGCTTATAACGTCATTTAATAATACCATCCCAGAACTTAACACCAGACTTATAAACTGAATGGAGAAACTATGTAAGCTGCGTAAGATTTGAGGTTTTCACGGCGGTGACTATGAAGAAAGCAGTCTTCTGGGATTTGTCACCGTGTATATCTGGTATTAACCGACGTTTCGGAGGAACGTATCGCCTCCATCTTCAGGGTAGAAGCAGAAATACAAGAAATCCGCAGGCGAAGAGACCATGAGAACCGGTACCTTCCGAAGAAACAAATCAAACATCTGAATCCTCGTTAGGGACGATCAACGTATAAAATTAGTATTTTCGTGGATTCAACTTAAGTCAAGAAAGTAACCACAGATATTAACTGAATCTGTGCATATAAATCAACATTCAGGAACTTGACCTAGGGCCTAGTGAGTAGGGCGTCCACGCATGCTTGAAGCGCGGACTACTAAAGATGAGGCCAAGTCAATGACTTTAACTGAATGATCGTCAGATAATTAAGAAGAGAGACAAAGCGTCTAAAATCGTACTTATTATTTAGAATTTAAATAGAAATATTCAAATAAAATGGACAATCATGAACATGGAACATATAACTGGTTAAAACAATCTGGTTAGGCGTACACCAAACAGCATGTCCGCTACAAAACTAGGTTCCCAAGGACAGGCCATGGCAGACAGAGAGAGAGGTCAGTGAACGGTTAAGTCGGTGGTTTACAGTACCTAGACAGACAGGCGACATCTGAACCAATTCACTGCACAGAATCACATATCTGAATGGATTCTCTGTGTTCTCCATCGGGCAGGTTGGGCGTCTCGAGTCATTAGGCTACAAATGAATCGATTCTTTGTCTCGTCACTCAATATCCATCCGAAACCCGCTTCTAAGTTATTATTAGTTTAATTTCTAATGTTTTGCGAACTGCAAACGTCAGTGTAGGGATTCGACTCCAGTGACCACCATCCTCAATTAAATTCATCTCTCACAACCCATTTACTTGAGATCCATTTTAACAACTTTCTTCTGTCTTCAAAGAGGCCGTTTTCCGTGAGGTTAATTTGTTGTTATTACTTCTAAACCAATTATCCAACTTTTGACACCGGTTGTAACGTGATGCAGTGTAACTACAGACGGCGTTTGAATTGGTAATCGGATTTACTGTACTCGTACAGCTCATAAGTACAAGTTAAGGATCACGCTCTCGCCGTTCTATATACTTCACAAATTATTATAGGGCACATTAGGTCTTCTCAGTCTGTCACAGTCTTCACTAGCCGTTGCCTGACATAGACTTCTAACGGAGGACGTTCCCCTTCCTCTGGGTTCCTCAACTGTCTCCGGCCTCAGCTACCAGCTTCTCACAGCAACAGCTCACAACAAGTGAACCCCAGTGATTATCTTACTCCTAACTTGTCCTGCTTATGACATTTCGGCATGGACAGCGTTGAGAACACCGCTCCTCTGTTGCAGTGTAACTGTTACTGAGCAATGACATTGCTTATTCCACTGTTGCGTGCGCGGCCATCGGCACGAACTGCGCACAAAACACCATTCCTCTGTTGTCGTTTACGGGCCGCTGCCTAGTAACTTCCAGCTGTTGTGACCCCACAATTCTTGCGTTAAACGAATATATCACATTGCTCCCTCCTTAAGATTACTCGTCCCAAGTAGCTTACAGGCTTACCGCCATTTCTTCTTTTCCGGGGTGACGCTTGTGACGTCTCTGATCAGCCTCGCCTTCCTTCCCTGTCGTTCGGTTGTCACGTCTTATTTGTCATTAGCAAAACAGTGTCATGGTATACGTGACGGATATGTCCATCTGTTTTAATGGTCTGTGAGTTAGCATCACCGAATTTTTTTAGAACGAGTTTACAAGCACTGGCATCAGCACATGCTATTTCTTGGCATCCGAAGTCATGGTTCCCAAATCAGCATTTTCAGTGACAATACTGAATAATGTTATATTTTAGCGTCCTGTTGCACTGATTTAAGTCCATGATTTATTTCAACCGTCTTCCAGTGCATACACTCATCTATCTCACTCCTCTCTCTCGCACTACATGTTTCGGCACAAAAGTGTCAATAAGCACCTGAAGATGGCACTTTTGTGCCGAAACATGTAGTGCGAGAGAGAGGAGTGAGATAGATGAGTGTATGCACTGGAAGACGGTTGAAATAAATCATGGACAATAATGAAACTACGAAACATTTATCGATATAACAGACTACATCTAAATCAAACAGAATTTTTAGACAGGAATAACGAACATACGCATATGTACTGATGAGTTTGATTTCAGTAGCGGTACTTACCGTTAAGCAAATCCGCATTCTCTGCAGAAATCGTTGTCTGAACATGAGAGTCCCGAACTTCTGGGTCACTGCTTCCAGCAGTAAGAGTTGCTCTTGCTGTCAATTCTGGTCCATTTAACTGATTATTATTGACACTTGAAATACCATTGCTAAGTATGTGATCTGTTATGCCGATGCCATTAGCACCGTTCTGTTTACTAAACTTCATTATGGTACTTGTCTTGGAAAAACTCGTGCTACGCTGTTCATGCTCCACAATCTCGTCTCCCGTTTCATTCATAGCTGCGATTTCCCTCTCTCCCTGCAAGGCTGATTATGAACCTATAAATAAAAAAATATAATATATGTCTTTTACGCCAGAAATGAAACCGTCATTTCGTCACGCGTACCCCCCCACACGTGACTATATATATATAGTCACGTGTTGGGTGCATAACGCGACAAATAACTTTACGCCGTCTTGGATGTAGCGAATTTATTGCATATTCGCTCGTACACTTGTACAATTCACAATTACACCACTACTGCCATCTACAGAATCACAATTATTCTGGCGAATGCTACACTGCAACTGACTGGTTACTCAATATTCAGTAACTCACTCACTGCTGACTCGTAACTGGCTCAATCCTCACTACTGACTAACTACTCACTCACTATTACTGAATAGTGTTCACTGCTCCTTATTTAGCCTCGGCACGGACAACACAGAAAACAGTTACGTGATAAACACCGCTGTTGCCTGACGCCGTGTTTACAGGTGTTGCTAGCAACGCTGTAGGGAGTTGTTTACGGCTGGCTAGTAACCACGGTATTAGTTGTTACGTCACTGCGGGGGGGGTTACCGGGCGTTGCATACTGGTGGAAGGAGGTCGGTATGTGACGTCACTCGAGGAAACGCAGAGTTCACGTGACCCCCACTTCACGTTGCGCCATCCACGTCACAAAATATAGGTTGTGAGACGTTGAGGGTCCCACATTATCTACACCAGGGGTCTCCAAATATTTCGAAACGCGGGCCACATTAGGTAATTCGGCACTTTCAACGGGCCAGATAAAATGAGAAAAATTAATAACTCTAGGTATATGAGTTTTATTGAAAGTACAGAATTTCATAAACTAAATTACTAAATACAAAGTACGTGACAATAAATTATCGTATATTAATGACAACAGACAGTAGCAGC